CAGTTTTTACAATTTAATTGGCTGTGACATTTTAGTCTGAAAGGGGAAAACAGTAAATTAAAGCAAATACTCAAAATTCTATGTCTGCCTGCTAGTCAGAAAGGGGTAAAAGCAACTTAAAAAGGAAAGGGAAAAAAAAAAAAAAAAAAGCCCAGTACAGACTCAGGCTTGATCTTGCTAGGGCTTCACCTGCAATTCACTGTTGAAGCCCTGCTGAATGATTTCATTATAGGACCAATTTTTGAAATAAAATAAATTGTATTGAGTTCTGACTCTGATTACACAGATGTGTGTCAGACTTGTTGATGCTTTTGTAATTTTCTCCATTCCCTCTTCTGTGAATCTGTTCTTGATACTCACATTTAGGGATCATATCTGATTACTTTCTTTTGCAGCTCTATCCAACTTTCTGGTTTTCTTTTACCATGACACTACTATCCTGGGGTGAATCTGTTTTTCTCTAGACTTTTATATTCCCATGTTTTTCTTGCCTGTCTCCAGGCACATATTTTGTGCATGTTACAGAGACGAAGTGGCAGCACCTAGCTTGGCTTTTTTTTTTGATCCCTGGACAAAGGTCAATGTCCAGAGAATGGAAATAATCAGGAAAGTGGAAACATTACGGCTTAGTTTTTGGCTTTACACTTCACACTTGTAAAGAGCTTGTTATGGTTGTAATTGTCCTTTAGTTGGTAATGGCCTGATAGTGTACTGTGTACCTGGAAACTTAATCTATGGCCAACTCCTCTACAGAGTAATTTTGGACTAGTCTGACATGTTTAAACCTGGGCAGATGTTTCCTGCCATCTGGTCACGGCAGGGAGCCTGTGCACCGGGAGTTGGGGACGAGGCAGGGGATGCCCCTGCTCTGCCCAGCACACCTCCGTGGCCTGAGGATGTCAGGTTGCCTCCATCTCTTTCTGCCCTTTCCCCCAGCATTTGGCCATCTTAACTGGGAACAACTCATGCTGTCATTGCTTGTTGTGGCACTGGCAACCTCAGCTCTGTGTGTGTATGCTTCCAGGCAAAATGCAGCACGTCTAGCCCAGCTCCTGTATCCTCAGGATGGGTGCTGGGACCCCGTACCGAAACCCTCTCGTCCATGACTTGGGCACCCATGTGAAGCACCAAGACATCGGTCCATCCTGCATGGGCAACATGCCTCGTGTGACATTTTCAAGTGTTGTCCTTGCTGTGCTCTTAATGGTACCAGTTTTCATGTGGCTTTGGAGAGAGTAGAGGGAAGGGGTCCTATAGAGCAGTTTTGGAAATCCTTCTTTGGAGGATTGGCTGGTTTCCAGAGGGTAAATGGCTTTTGTCTGGAAAACCTTTTCTTAGAAAATGAAAACAAACATTAATCTCTGGATGTGGAGGCCTATGAGACTTTAAATATTCAGTGCAGTCAGTAACACTTTATAGTGACAAGGCTGTGATTTCTGCATTTGATCATGAGTGATTTATGGAAATTTAGTAAACGGTGAAGCACAGTTTCCTCTCAGCTGCAGATTGGAGTTTTCTCTCTGTGCAGACTTGCATGCACAAGTCATGCAAAGTTGCTCTCATTACTCTAGAGAATTGTATTTTCCACACACAGTCCCCAGAAGAGCATGGGTTGAGAAGAGGGCGATGCAGGAAGTAACTCCTGCATTTAGTTTAAAAACAGAGCCCCTTTATCTTATTCGTACCCCTTCAGCAGCTGTAAGGGACACCCTGGTGTGACGAAGGAGTGCCCAGGAGGGTCCCATTTCTTGTCTTTAGTTTTCCTGCCTCAGGACAAATGACTCAGACCTGACAAATTTCCTAATACCTGAGCACTCCTCATCAGCTGAGAGATGTAGTGTCTGAGGGAGAGCTGCACATGGTTGTGCTGGAAAATTCTGTCATTTTGGGTGGTGCAAGCAGTCCTTGAAATGAATCCTAAACTTGTTTTGTGCTTTTTCAGCTTCTCACCATGCAGCAAAACTGATGTTACCTTTCTGTTTAGGAATACTAACTGGATAATTGAATACTTAATGAAAAATATACAGGTCATCTTCTGCACTAGTCTTCTGATGATTTTATTTTGCATGTCTTCACTTTCCTCTCCTTGACAAGAATCAATGCCTTCTCCTTGGCTTCCCCTCATTCTCCTTTCATGCATCTACAGAACTGAGAATAATACTTCCAGATTTACCTAGAAATTACAGTTTGAAGTTTTCAGAAGTGTCTAATGCAGGAATAGCAATTTACAAACATCCAACTTGGATGTGTTGGTTTAGAAAGTATATTAACCATCTGGTATCTGAAATACCAGGTTTGATTTAGATATTTCAGGTTAGATGCCTGATATGTCCACAATGTCTTAGAAAAGTAGACATCTAAGTTGTCACAGAAATAAAAAAAGCAATGAAAAAGGAATGTATGTTATACATTGCTTGTATTTTTAATAAGTGTGAATAGCTTTTACAGGAATTGATCACTTAACAGATTCCAGTCAGTTCTTAGAAATGCTACACTTTAAAATTCAGTGAAGTTTCATGCTAACCCTACAGATTTCATATTTATCTTTAGATTATGCCACCATTTAGATTATGCATTAATTAAAGTATAATTGGTTAGAAACACATTGATGCTTCTGCCGCCTTTTTTAAAAATTTTGGGATTTTATTTGTTTCAAAGTCCTGTTGTCTAGTATAGCCCTTGTTGAAAGTGAATAGAAAGATTTCTCTTGGGAATTCATCTTGACCCTGTAATTTTCAATCTGAGACAACAGCTCACAGGACAGAGGGGTCCTGGTTGTCTTCCTGGCAGAGCATGTGGGAGTGTTCAGGCACTAATGCTAGCCTGCCAGGGGTTGCTGGTGGGGTTTCCTTCTCTTGCTGGCCATCATGCCACCAGCCACTGTGCGTGGTAGCTCCCTGATGTGCCAGTTTGTAATGTCCATGTGCCAGCTCCACAGTTTCTGGTGTGGATTTCTTAGTCTGTAAATTGCTAAATCCATAGTAAACCCCACTTATTAGTAGTGCTTTGTGTCAGTTCATGCAACTCAGAAGTTCAGATGTCACACTGGATTTTTCCCAGTCTGCATGTTTTTCCCCATGCCATATACTTTCTGTGATTGGTATAGGTCAAGATCATACATTTGTTACTTCAATTCATTAGTGGTCAAGTACCTGCTTTATTGACCACCTCAAGGTCCTCATTAATCCATCACTTAGTTTTAATCAGTTAAGCGCACGAGAAGATCTTTTTCCAAGCATCTCTGTTCCTGGCTGTCATTGCCAGTAGATCTTGGATGGGATAGACAGACTCCCTTTTTTAAGCATGTGTTCTTGCCATACCATTTATTTGTGTCAGTCTTGATCTCTAGCAGTGCTTGGTCTCTGCCTTTCTGCCTGCATTGCTAAGAAATCTGATCTCAGGAGACTTCTGTATTACAAAATGAGGGGTTTTGCAGAGGGTTATTCAAAGTTTCTAGTTAGGCTTGTAGCGCAAATAGCTTTGCCAGGATTAAGTTAATCTGTGTGAATATTCTTCTGTTTCTCAGACTCAGATCTCTTAGGTGAGCTCTATAAAAGTACTTTTTTGTGTAGCAGTCTTATGGTAAAGCATTAGTCAGCCACTCCATAATACTGATAATAGTATTAATCTTTAAAGAGCAGACCTTCAAAAGAGCTTGGGTGCACTTTCTTCTTGTTGACTTTTCTGGGAACTGGGAATTCAACACTCAACCTATGGGAATGAGTCCAGCTGAAATTCCAGACGGCCTTTCATGCACCAGTTGAGTACTACTTGGCTAGCAGAGTTTTCTTTTACTTGGTACCTAATAACTGGGTTGCCTCAGTTCTCATGAGAAAAACTATGTTTGGGTTGTCAGTGTATGAGAAAATTGAGGGTGTGTATGTAACTGGGAAGGCTCTATTACCATGTCTGCATATCTGTAGTTGTAAAACATGATCTATGGCAGCACAAAATTTAAAATTTGGTGGCATCCCAGGAAGTACTTAATTGCATTTGTGCTTCATTACAAGGCTGTCTCCTTTTCTGGAATTTATTTTAGCTAATTAGTTGGAAATGTCAAAGTAGTATTTCACATGACAGAAACATCATATATTATCATACGTGAAGCAATTAACTCTTTTGACAAATATTTATTGTGGTGTCATCTTTAATTAAATCTTCAGTACTCCTAGACATAGAGCAGGTTCTTCCGAAAAGGAGGTCTTCCCAGCACTGCCAATGAACATTTGACTGATGGGGCTTAATTGAACTTGGTATTGAAAGAGTTGGTGGCCCAAACATGAAGATATCGACATGACACAATTTCACAATACAGATGTCTGATATTTGGCAAAATCCCAACACAATCACCACCGTCTACAATCTGTACCACATACCACAGATGCATTATGCTGGAGAAGATGCATCTCCAGTCACTCCTGTTCTTCCACTGGAACAGTTTGCAGAAGAAAGATGCTGTGCACTTGTGCTACTAAGATAAATATTGCTGAAAAACAGGGCTGTATATATGTTTTTAAAAAATCATTTTTTTTTTTTATTTAGTTCTTGGGGCTATTCATGTGGAAACATGTTACAAATGTGACTGTTTGGTTAGTTCCTCTTAAACAGATAGGTCTTGTAGATGATGTGCCACTGAAAAATAATTCCTGACAGTTATAACTGAACCAGATAAACAGTTCTGCCAGCTCCCAAACAACACTGTAAAACAAAAAGGTTCTGCTTATCGTTTTCCATTTCTTCATGCCTGTCAAACTATTTAACTGTGCATTACCCATCACAAAGGGTCTCTGTTTTCCAGCTCATCTGCTGTGGTCATGGTTTTTACCTTCTCTGTTGCCCGACCTACTGTGCTACACTTGTCCAGCTGTATCACTCCTCAGCCGCTGCTGATCTTCGCCTTCACCCTTGCAGAGACACTCTTTGGAAGTGCCGCACGAGATTTCTCCCTGTCATGAGCATTCAGCGTGTTAACCTGTACATATGTTTTTATTGTTTTTCAGGCAGAAACAGCACCAGAAAGTGGCCGAGATGGTCCCAGTGTTCAGGTCAGCTCAGGGCAGAACAGCTCCGACCCGGTGGGAGCAGGCGGCTCGGCAGCCTGCCAGAGCATGGTTGCTCCAGCCGGGGTCTCGGCAGGTACCTCGGCTGCGGCTTCATTCTTCATAAGGTAGTTTTTCACCTTTCTGGTTTCTGTCACTGCTCGTGGGTCTTCAAATGGTTATGAAATGCTGTTGAGGCTTTGCCGTGGATAGAAGGTGTAGCACCTGGTACTGGTTGCTGAGCGGTAGAGTTGGTCACCGAGTCATGACTGTGGCTTTCCACTGCCCTGGGGCTCAGGGGTGTGATTGTGACAACCCATTTCTCTCTATGGAGACATGAGCATGAACATCCACTGACCAAAACCAAGAAAATGTGTGTTGGTCTTTGTCTAGTCCTTAATTTCCACCTGTGGCAAGTCTGTTAATCTGTAGGCTTCTTTGGAGCAGAAGCTGAAGTAACAAGGTTTTTTTGCTCAGATCTAAATAAAAAGAAGCTAGACTTTTATTCAGTAATATGGCCTATGTGTGCAAATAAAAGTTTTTCCATAGTTGGTAGCAACTGTTAAAACAGTTTAAGGCATTCTTTTTTTAGCAGGAGCCTAGAATAATCTTTTTTTTTTTCCTTTCTTAGGTCTTATAATAAAAATGATATGTTAGTTTTGTTTGTGAAATATTTATTATAATTAGCAATGTTGATTAAATGATATGCTGTCAAGCAGATGGTATTTAAAACAACAAAATTCAGGGCTTTGTACTTGCATTCCAAACTCCTTTTTTAATTCAGAACTGAACATGTTTTGAGACAATATTGAAAAACGTATGTCTGTGAATGGCATTGAAGTCAAATTAATGCACTGAGTGAGGATCCTTTTTATCAGGTAGTCACAATGGTAATTGTATTGTTTAATTTTCCTTGATCTTTAAAATGTTTTGCACCATTAAATAAATGTTTACTCTAAGTTACAATCTGACCTCAGAAACAGCTCAACTTTCCAAGACCCGTTTTTTGGAATAATATAGTACAATGAGTCTTAAGCATTCTATGCCTACATATCCCAGTCTGTCTGTACACAAGGGGTTGGGAAATGACTGCGCCAAGAGTGGTGTGTGTAAGTTACTGTTTTGTCTCTGTGCTAAGTGCTGCAGGTTTAACATCAACACAGAGAAGTGGTTGCCTACAGGGGATGATTTGTTTAATTTTAAGATAGGTGTCTGAAATCAGTGGGAGTGGAGAGGAGAGGTAAGGGGAAAAGCTCAGACATTTCTTTTCTTGTTTAGTTACCTAAATAAGGACAGATGAATCCTCTCCAAAGTAACTTGTCTGGATAGCAGCACAGCTTCCATTACTGTATTTCATATTGTGGGTATGAACAGTGTGATTTAGCTCAATCTACTTTGGATTTATTTCAGTGTGCATCTGTATGTCATAAGAAAATGTAAAGACTGGCACTTTCACTGGGGAATCTAGAAAATGAAACACCCTCATTGGAATTGAGAGAAAGAATTCAGTACCTAATAATCTGAAAATAAGACCCAAAATCTTTTGTCCCAGTGATGCTTCTGTCACTGGTCAGCAAAACTCAGTTGTGGTTTTACTGTAAAGCAACAGATCCTTACTAATGATTGTCGTTGGCTTGATTTAAAGATTCTTGAAGTCAGCAGCAAGACTGCAAATGAGATCATTGTACATTGGATCAGGCCCTAATTGCTTCTCATGAGTCTGTCTTTGCCTTGAGTGAATCAGAGTTTTATAGCTTTAGCAGCTATGTGCTAGCTAAAACATTTTAAAACCCATTAGTACATTGCTTATTCTCTACCCATGTTTCCTCTGTTCAAAATTGATTCTCTTCAATTTTTTAACCAAAAAACTGCTGGTTGAAATTTTTTTTTGCACAAAGCACTTCTGTTTCTTTTTTTGTTGGAGAGAGAGACTTCAGTGAGAGATAAATTTTTCCTTTAACAGTTGTCAGTTACCTGAATTAGTTTTGTAGCAGTTTCATGATCTTTCATCACACTGCTGATTAATGTATTTCATCATTCATTTCTCGGTGTTCCAGAGCCCTGTCTAAGAATCTTGGGTTCCCTAAAAGCAAGCATTCAGGAAACAAGTTCAGTTAAGACTGTGATTAAAAACACAAATTATAATGCAGAAAATCTCACAAAGGCTGGGGGAAGAGAGATCCATTATTGGATCCGGGGGAGAGATCCTGGCAGTCATATGTTGAGCAGACCCTCAGGTGGGTACATTGCATCGTCCTAGCCAGGCTGCTCCACCACCGACGTTAACCTCAGGAATGTCCTACTGCTCCCTCGTCTCTTCTGACTCCTCCTGTCATTGGGACCTTATGGATCAAAGTTTCCGTACTGAGTCTTCCTCCTGCCCCTGAGCTGTGCAGTCCTCCTCAGGAGGGGAGAGGAAGAGGAGGAAATCTTCAAGGATGGGTGAGAGACAGGTGCTGGAAGAAACAGGTGGAAGCGGCTTATCCAGGGACCAAAAGTATTGGGATATCAACGGTTTTGGCTGGTTTTGTTCAGTACTGATGGAACATCAGGCTTCTTTGCTCCAGTCCCATCTCCTCTTTCCCTTTGCACCATCCAGCCTTGAGCATGAAGAAGGTCATTCCTGACTTGAATCCTTTGCAGCAGCATCCACTTCTGTCCTTTGTCTCACTGTTCAGCTAATCCTCTCTCAGCAAGCACCTAGAGATGAAGGAGAAGTCATGGCAGTAGTGTTACGCTGTAGTCCCTGTTCATTGTATTTGCTGATTCTTTCCTTACCGCATTTCTCTCCTCAACCACTTCAAATCTGAACTTCATAGCAGGGCCAGTGTGTTACTTGTGTAATGCAGAGCTTGGCACATTTTGTTCCTTGTTCTATACTGGAATAAATGCAATTAATACATTGATAATCACACACACATATTTATTTTTTTTTTCAAATCATTGCCCTCTCTTTGACCAAATCGATGGAGTACCTCCATCTTTTTACAAGAGCCCTTTTGTAGAAGGGGCTGTGGTTGGGACTTCAGCTTGGGAAGAGGGTTGTTTTGTCAGAAATAAAGTATCTAGGCAGAAATTCACATGTATGTTAACATTTGTTGTATTGGGGTACAGGGTTAGTTAGTTTGAAAGCAAAGCCGTCATAGGGTGCTTGTGGAAACTGCATCTGTAATTTCCTTAGCAGCAGCAACACTAGATAGATTTTTTTTTTTTTTTTTTTTCACATGAATAAAGGATTCCATTCGTGTTCTTCATGAAACAGCATTAACTGTGTTTGTACAGGTCCTAGCACAATTAGCTTTTGGGCTGTGGCATGGTTTCCTGGCAGCAAATAAATGTCTTTTTCACATTAAAACTAGAGTCTCTATTTGGTGAAATAACACCCTTTGACTCTTGCTTGTGGACTGTCTTTTGCCTGGGAAGGGAGGAGGTCTGTGCAGGGTTTTTGGTTGGTTGGTTTGTTTTTCACTCCAGTTTGTTCCTCGGTGAGAGTCACAGCTTTGTGTTTGTAAGGTCACAAACTCAAAAGAATGTACAGAGAATTCATGTCCTCACCTGGAAAATAATAACCAAGAGCTGCAGCAAAATGTTTACCTGGTGAGAAGAGGTACACATGGTTAAAATGAGTATCTTTAAGATAGTCTTTGCAATGAATGCATTGATTTTGTTAAGCATATGTGCAGCCCAAATCTACATATTCATCCAAAGCTCTTTCTAATTTGAATGTCATATTTAATTTCTTCAAGCTTAATTATGTTATGCTTTTCAAAAAAAAAAAATTATTCTTTACCTAGAAATGCACAGTGTCTAGCATGGAAGTGCTAAGTATTCGAAGTCAATGCCAAATATTAGAACCAGCAGACAGAAGCGTATTAAGAAATTAAATCAGTTTTTAAGCTTTTTTCCTCACTCTCATCTGTCATAGAAGGAGGAAAGTTTTGATTAACATCTGACTGTGTCACAGAAGCAAATTGCAAGACATTACTCAATGATCATGTTACCAAAGGACCAGAGGATTTAGCAGAAAATGCAGATTCTCAGTAGGTTACTGACAGAATAAGAAAGCCAGAGCAAAAAGTGCAGCTCATGGGCATGGGTGGCTGTGAAGAGGCTCTCAGTTTATCCTTATGATGCAGGCAGAGAAGTTTAATCTTTCATTCTTCAGACTTAAGAAGAATGCAGCTAGTCTTTGTCCCTTGGTCTGTCATGGCCTGGGCCTTGCTTAGTGCTCCATGCTTTGTACCTGTTTCCAGCTTTTGGTTTGTGGAGTTTTTTTTGTTTGGCTGTTTTTTTGTTGGGTTTTTTGTTTTTGTTTTTGTTTTTTTCCTCCTCATATAATGAACCTGAACAAACTTTATATTACTAACTGAAAATATGTGAGATAGTTGTAGGACCCTCCTGTGGGCTATGCTTTCAACTAAGTAAATATTGGTATATTGTGGTATAAAGCTTTAATAAGCTGTTGGGTTTTTTGTCACCCAGATACCTGGGGAAGAGAAGAAACGGTGTTTCCAAGAATGGGCAGAAGGGAAGTGAGGAGGAAGAGGAGAAATGGACATGCACTTGGAAAGAGGTTAATGGGCTATCTGCCAAAAAAGAAAATACAACTCCCTTGGGAGGTGAATCAAGGCCCCTGAGACATGGAAGCTGTCACCATTAACATGCCATTTCTGCCTGTTGGTGGCTGGTGAGGTGGCAGCACCGCCTGTGCTGCTGGGTGGGGGTATGGTGTTTGGGTGAGAACATGGGTGTCTGGCCTCGCTGCACAAGGGTGAGCTGGAAGGAAGGTTTGAACAGTGACAGGACAGCTAGGAAGAATCAAAGCTGCTTTGAAGAAAATATGCATAAAAGCAAGCAACTCTGGGCAATGTTGAGCAGGAGACAAACTGTATTAAGTCCCCGCGTCTTAAATTTTAATCTTGTTTGATGTTGGGTTATTTTCACATCTTTTCATACAGGTTTGGTCACAGGGTTGCACTTGCTGTCGTGGGACTGTTGCCTTTGAAGCAGGGAAATTGCTGTATAGTTGCAGCTACTTTTCCTTGCATCCGCCTGCTTTTCTTTGAATAATTAGTCTTCCAAACATAACGCTCATGATGCACTCACTAGTTTTCAGGTTTCAAAGTTA